AGGTGTGTTTGCAAGTTCTAATGTGGGGTTTATGAAAAAGCAGCCTACCACTCATTTCTCTTCCTTTCAACCCTTAAGCATTGCTAGTTGTAAATGAATCTTAAAGCTAGGCTGTAAAAATGGCATTAGAGGAAAATATCCCAGTAAATGAGAGTAATTCTTTTATCTCTTGAGTTCCAAAAGTGTGCAAAGTGTCTAAAATCACAGCTTCCAGGTATCATTCCAACCACCACTTGGCAATGGAGAACTTGCACCAATATCTGTATTATCACACAGGTATTTGCTGTGACAAACAGCTCATCAGGAAATTTTTGAAACTTTCTTACTCTTATAAACTTCTTTAAAATATGTATAATTTATTTTACACTCCCCACAGTTCTGTTTCTGTAAAAATCCCAGAAATCTTGGGTCACAATTTTTCCCTATTTTGAGCTCAGATTTTTTAAATTATGGATAAGTTAGCCTAAAACTAAATTTATAAAATGAATTGTAGCTAAAGTGTTATGAAATTTTAGGAAGAAAGAAATTCACCCCAGAAGGCGGGTGTTAAGCTTTTTATGTAAAGCTGAAAAAGCAAGGTGGGAAAGATTCAAGAAATTGGAAATATGACAGGGAATTGAATGCTGTCATAGTGCAGTAGTATTACATAAGCATTACTGTTGGATTTTCATAAGAATGATTAAATTGATTTTATTTTTAGTAGTTTCTGATTGAGTAGAAATTTTTTTAATTATAAACAAAATTGCTTTTCAAGTTAGCAAAGCTGTCAACACCTTTCTCTTTTCTTTTCTTTTTGTTTTTATTCCCAAAGATGAAAAGAAGGATTTTTCCCTAGAATAAACTTAATAAATTTTCTAAACTGGAGAGTTAGGATTTAAATCAGTTTTCTAGGGAGCATTTTGTCAGAATCCAATTACAGAACAAAACTTAGAAAAATTATACTTCTTGTTCAATTTATACTTTTATAATGCTTAAACATTTATAATACTTGTGGAAATCTCAGCACTTTTACCATAGTAGCAGAATGCTGTAGCTATGATTTAGCATAGTTTATTTACATTCAGGAATTTCCTTGGCGTTTAAATTTGTAAACTTGCAAGCCAGTCCATGACTTTTGTAGTATCCAGCACTGAAAATTCTTATGAAAGCAATAAATAAGATTTTTACTTTTTTTTCTCCTTACATAAACAATGACTTCAGAACATATCTCACGAGGCAGCTGGTGATGCTTGATGCAAGATAGAACCCAGTTCACTCTGGGAGTCTGCATCTCCTGTTAATAAAATTTACAGCAATTTGGAGCCTAATATTTTTGAGCTTGTTTCAGGTCAGCTGTTGACACAGCGAAAAAAGCAAACATATCTCTGCCTTATGGCCGGAGTACTGAACTATGCTTCTTCAACATTACCAAAGGGATTCAAATGTAGGGCTGAAAGATTTCAGATGTCATCGTGCTCATAAGTTCCCAGATAAGCTGCTAGTTCAACTTTCTCATCATGATGCAACTTGAACTTCAAAAAAAAAAAAAAATCTCTTTCATGCAGTTCTATTCACTGGAATTGTCTTCTGTCTGATGTGATTGTTTCTGTATTCTCCAGGTGTGGAATCCCCCAAAAATGAAGGAAGATTCCAAAACTAGAGTGAATCTTGGTGAATCTAATTAACACATCTCATTCCAGGAATGATTTGCATTTATTCACTCATTAATTTATACCACATTTCTGTCCTTACTGGCATCATGAAGGGCAATAATATCCCTTCTGAGTGATCCACCACAAGAAATGTATTTTCCTAGTATTGTAGAGATATAATAAAGATAGGAATATTATTTTAAAAGAAATATAATATATATAAAGTGTTATAATAATATAATCTCTCATATATATATGTATATGTATATGTATATATATAATGGTATGGTATATATGTATATATATATATATATATATACACACACACATATGTGTATATATATACACACACACTTACCATACTGTTTGTCAATTCGTTTGAGAGTTTCATCTATCACATTTGAGGGTTACAAAAGGATGTCTTTTCATTCTGCAACTTTAGCATCGTCTTTAATTTTTTTCCTCAGTCTAAATGCTGTCATCTGTGTCCAAAGAAAAAATTACATTATGGTAAATAACAAAAAGCACTGTACAGGCTCTTTAATTTATGAAAATGGAGATTTGGTGATTTCTAAGGAAACACAAAATTCCACAAGTTTGACCATTATAGACCAGAAGAGGAGATGAATATAAATATTTCATTAATATTATAGGAAGTTTCCACTCTTTTTCTGGAATCCCTTGAACGCACCTCTGATGGGATTTTTAATACTGAGGTCCATTTTGCCACAGAAGCATGTCTGTGACACCTATTCACCAACTTTTTGATAAATATCCGTACAGATAGTGGACTTGTTAAAGTTTCTGCCAACATGGAGTACATCATGCGTCATTGTCAATAATAGATTTAAACCTCGTGAATATCCCATGAAACAGTGGGAGATATATCAGAAATACTGTGATGTACAGCTAGACTAAACCCCTTCAGAGAGGTGGTTTGGTTTTTTGTTGGTTTTTTTTTTTTTTTTTGGGGTTTTTTTTTTTTTTTTTTTTTGCTTTGGGTTCTATCCCTTCATGAGGCAATAGCAAGGAGTGAGAATTGTTCTAATTGGTAACTTTCATTCAAATGAAACTACCGAGATGCACAGCACGCCTTCTTTGGTGTTCATTTGGGGTTTTTTTCTGCGGCTCCTAAAATACTCCATTCTTGTCTTCTTCAGAAATCCCTTATTAAGAATCTGAGTTTGTTCTCTTAAGGGAGTTTTGGACACCATCAAACTCACTTAGCAGGGGGAAGAACCGGCTGCTAACAGTGACATGCAATCGTCATTTCCTAGATAATCATCTAAAAGGGAGTTGTTTCAGAGCTGTGAGGATTATAAAAGTGTACATATTTAAATAAGCAATTATGTCCAATTAGTGAGAGACTTGGAACATATACCTGCCTTACCAATTTTAAACACAAATTAGCCATTAATATGTTCAACTAAGTTAATATTAAAAGTAACAGACTTCATGTTCAAGGTTTTTACCACCTGTATTTTTTCCCCCTCATCTCTTTGCTAGTATCTGACAATTTCTTTATTCTCAAATTATTTAATGAATTTCACATCAAATTAAAACATTTACTATTTCCTTTCTTATATTGTAGTGAAAAAGAAGCAGGCCTGATATAACATTCTAAACATGTATTGAACATAGAAAACAACCCAAACATATAAGCCTACTGCTTTCACTTTATATTTGAAGGACCATTTCCTTATTATGGTACAATAATCATCAATTTATTTTTATTATATCCATGGAACTAGAAAATTGTGTGTTTTGACACACTCTGAAGTGTAAATAGAATAAATACCTGTCAGTTACTGGAGTGGTTTTTAAGACTAGACCACAGCAATTGCTCTAAATCATAAAGACCTGATTAAAATACTACTTAAATAGAAGGGGAAGCTGTTCCTCACAAAGGGCTGAAATTTTATTTTTAACCAATTACAAATTATTTCTTTTTTCCAAGTTTAAAAAAGACAGTTTTGTGATTCTGCTTTTTTTTTTTCTTTTTTGTTTTCTCTTCATTTTTATTGCATAGAGATACATCTAATATTCTTTGGAACAATGGAAAAATTAAAACCATGTCAAAGGAAGACACTTTAAATGTTGCAGATCTAATAAGCACATACACGCTTTTTGTGTATGAAAAAATCAAATCTTACAGACTACATTTCAATGTGTGAGGGGCCCAATTCTGTTATCCATATAAGAATAATATTCTCTTGATATCAGCTGTGAAATCCTTGTTCTTGAACTGTATTTTGGATCTACCTCAAGTAAAACAGTGAGCTAAAAGTGTAAAGGCCTAATCAGATTAATTCAAAATTCTTTAAAAATTTCCAAAAAGGGAGCAAATAAATTTGGATTTTTAAAAAAGTTAAAACCTTGAAGGGCACAATCTCTATTTTTTTATTCTGTGCCCTTTCCTTTGTGTAGAAATAATATAAGAATCATTACAAACTAATAACAATCTTTATCTCTTATTTTTACCTCAATCTATACTAAATAAACATGCAGGAGAATACTAGAATTGATTTTTTTATTGTATTCTTCTGTGTTCCATAAACCTGAATGCTCTGAAATTCCATGCTGATCTGGTGTAATCTTGGTGGAGAAATTCTAAAAGGTCATTGCACTGTTACACTTTTTATATAAAAGAATTGTGATGTTTTTATTTCTTTTCCTTTCTGTTTATTAATTTGAGGCAATAATTAGGCTTTCAATATAAGTAGTGACCTTAAATGAACAGTGCATACCACATGCAATCAAAGAATCACAGTTCAGCATTTCGAATCCATTGTAGCCATTGCTCAGGTCAAAGTGAACTAAAGAGGAGCGAGATTTTCATCAGACAAATATTTCTGAATGGGCTCTGAACTCAGGACTTTCATAGATCATTATGGAGACCTTTTTTCCAAAAGTAATTTTAAATAGTCATTAATTAATGCAATATAGGACAGCTGCCCAGTATTTTATGAATCATATACCAATGACCTAAAAGGTGGTGTAAAATCCTATGGGCAAAATTATCAGAAGTCTGACTAATTTTGTAGAGGTGATGGAGAAGATTGAAAATTTTTTCAAAAAACATATGAATAAGGATGAGTGGGGTAAATGCAATTATAAAAAGTAAAAAGAATGTAAATTAAAAAAATATAGCATAAAATGCCAGAAGGACACAAAAAAATTCTGGTGGCAACCTGGTAAGATATATTCTGGTCCCAACTAATGTGAAGTACATCCTTAAAGAAAATTAAATTTAGCAGGATTGAAATAACCATTTAGCAGTTTGAAAGAATGGTTGGTACGACTGGGAATTAACAGGCATTTTCAACTAACAGGTATTTTCCTATTTTTGACTTCCTCTACATTCTCCAGGAGCACATGTCCAGAGGCCAACACAATGGATGGGCAATGGCTACAATTCCTACATGGAGAGTGGCAGAGGCCTTACAATCCAGCACTGTCTCCAACAGGGATTATTCAAAGGAGAAACAAAAAATCTTATTTATTCACCACAAGTAAGTACGAGGAAAAATTTTGGGTATGACAGTTATGTGTGTTTAAAATATTGGAACATACATTTGTGAAAAAAATTAGAATTATCTTTAGAAGTAACCTACCTCCCTATGATTTAATCCCAAGAATTTAATTTTTTAGTCCCATGAACAGAAATAGGTTTAAGGAAAAAAAAAGGTGCTCTATTTCATATAATTCATCATTTCATTTAAGTACATTTTTAAATAAAAGAACATTACAAAATGTATATAAGAAGATATATATTATATATATTATCTATTATATATATATTATATATTTTATATATATATATATATATATATATATATATATGTATGTATATTGGGCACTGCTTTGCTGCTGTGCCCAAAAAACCCAAAGTTTTTTGGAACTCACTGTCCTCTCTCAGCACTTCATTGAGCTGGGAAAGACTCTGTTCCAAATCAGCAGAGTACACACACAAACACACACACACACACATACACACACAGAATTTTATTACAGGTAATGGTATGTTCAGCATCTCCATATTAATGTGGCTGATAGTCTTTAAATATCAATCAGAAAGGCTTTTTCTTATTGTTCTTTCAATGAGAAAGAATAGGAATTCAAGAGGAAATGCAGCCATGGTAATCAAATAAAATATGCTACTGTCATAATAAATTCTGATCCAACAAGGATTAGTGTAGATAAGCAGTATTTTCTGTGATGCATGGGGACATCTATTTTCCACCACTTTCCTCACTAGCCTATAGATTTCTGCTTTCAGTTGACTGAGCCAACTGAAAGACAAACAGCTACTTCCTTTGGCTCTTAAAATTACAGATGATTTGATTGAAGGAACAAAAATAATTGCTTTCACAAAACAAATGTTGTCTGTAGACTAAGCTATTCCACAGGTTTATGACAGTTTGTTTACTTTGATTTATAATCAAGATGTTCTTATTACCTTCATGCTTGCTTTCTGTCTCACATGCCCCAGCTTGGATTAAGACCAAGAGTGAAAGGGGATGATACCATGAAAGGCTGAAGCCTGGAGAAGATTGAACTACTTGATTTCCATAGATGGGAAAAAAATTATTTGCTTATAAAAGGATGAGGCAAATGCACTGATTTTTTTTTTTTATTTATGTGTTCGTTTAGTCAGTCCTAAATTAAGACCAATTACAGAATAAGCCTAAGGTCGCTTAAAAACAATATTACATATTCAGAAAGACAAATTGTTATTGCAAACAGAACGTAAAAGGGCATAAATGAAAAGTCATAGTGAGAGTTCTTGGTGCTGTAAAGCAGAGTAGTGTGAGTGCCATGCTGTTTTGCTGTATTTGCTTTGTTACTGTAGGAAAATCCAAACAAATGGCATGGTATTCAATAGCAGTCAGGAAGGCTGGAGACCAGGAATGAAGGTGTACCACGTAATGACTAAGGAAAGTTATATTTCATACTGGGGTTTAGAGAATGAGCTGCTATTAACTTATTCCCCAGCAGACCGACTCTTCCTCATGAAATGGTGGTTAGCTGAGAGCTGATGCTGCTCTTTGTATGTCACAAGGCAAATGACATTGGGGTGCACTGCAATTTATGAAAGGTGTGTGCTTACTACGGCAATAAAATATCACTGAGATGGGGTTTTCTGAACAGCATGGATTTCTGAACAACATGCTGATATTTCTGATCAGCAATATTCAAATATTTTCAGTCCTTTGGAAAAGAGCTTTGTGTTTTAAATGTGTAAGGCAACATACAAGCATAAATCCCACTGTATTCTCTATATGTTAGTTTGAAAATAGAAAAATGCACGCAGAGATATGGAAAAAGATAGAAATGTTATGTCTAACATTGTAGGGCTGTATTCCCTTTCATGAATCTAGGTTTAAACAAGATTTATGTATCAGTCATTTAAGTCAAAGAAGTTCAAGAAACTCATGATTATGCTGACTTAAGTTCTATGCACGTAGAACAGATGCAACAAAATTAATTCCTTCCTGTAAATTATAGTGATTTTGTTTTTTAGCAGTTTTAGAAAAGAAGGGCATACTATAACTCTCTACCAAAATCACAGACTGCTCTCCAGTGTTTATCCCCTGAAGGGTGGACTTCCATTTCTCATGGACAGCCTGAGCTCGCACTCTTGGGCTGATGCCTTGAGCTGATGAAGCCAAGAAAGCCAAGCAGGTGGCATTCAGTTTGCTTGGGAATAAGATAGAAATCAATGGATTTCCACTGATTAGACACTGTGATTCTTTTTTCCGCTTTAATACTCTCTGGTATACAGCCATAATTTTCTTCTAATTTTAAATCTAGATGCCTATTAGCAAGTCTCTTAAAAGAAAGGTTTGATTTTAAGGAAATCCGAATTCTCACAAGCACACACAAGAAGCAAACTCTTTTTGAGTTGTGTTATTCTTCTTAAATAAATATTTTATTATGATGAATCTTTATCTATATTTTTATGAGGTTATGTCTCTTTTAACAAGTTTGATTTTAAGTATGAGAGAGATTCTAAAAAAACACTCTCAAAATATAAGATAGCAAGATAGTTTGTATCTATTAACTAAATTAGTTACATGACTTATGTTGGAGTATGGTTAGAAATATAGTAAACACCATATGTCACCAATACTGCACTGGAAAAAGATGCAGGATCAAAACTGTAAAAAACAATGTGTGAAATTTCTTAAATAAAAGGAAGCAGAAATACTTCTGCTTTTCAATTCTGATTTCATGAAAGACACAAATTCAACAAGACAAACTGAAAGGAGGTTAGAGAAACAGGCCCAACCATGTGCCTAAAGCCAATATTGTTCCCTCAGAAAGAAGGATGAATAGAAAACCTGAAGTTGCAGAACCTTAATGACACAAATCCATTCACCGCCATGGCTAAAATATCCCATTTACTTCAAAGTGCTCACTCTGCTATGAGCAGAAGCACTGTGAGATCAGAGAACGAAGAAGTAAAGGTCTAAACAAAAACTTTTATCCAAGAATTATGACCTGAGTGAGGTTCTCTCCTTGAACACCTCCTGTATCCAGGGTGGTGAGAAAATGCAATGTGGTAGAACTGAGGTCCAACATTTGCCACTTAGCTGAAAAGTTATCTATGGATCACTTTTTTCATAACTATTATTTTATATCTTCTATCAAAAGCAAAAGAACATCTACATGTAAAAACAAGGAAATCTGACACTATTCTGGCAATAAGAGATTATATTGGTTTGTCAGAAACAAGAAAACTACTCTCATTGTGACTAGATCAATAGCCTAATAAACAAGTTGGTGTCTCAGAAGGCAAATAGAGATTTTAACAATCAGGTGTTTTCTGAAAGATTACACCTGTGTAGAGGAAACAATAATTGTCCATAGAATCAAAAGTGAAAAGAAGTAAGCCTGATTTTAATTGAAAGGACAGCAAACAAAATTCAAATGTAAAGTAGATAATTTATAAATCTCAGATATTTGTTCATATTTTCTGTTAATTAAATTTCCTAATTCATATGGACATTGAATAAAATGTTATGTTTTTCAGTCTCATTTGATTAAAGAGAGGAAATCCAGGCTGTTTCTAAATTGTTTGTTTTGGTGAGGATTTTTTGTGGGTTGGTTTTTTGATTGCTAGTATTTTTTTTTTGGGGGAAAATTCAGCATTCTTCAAAGGCTTGTACTAACAGGTTGTGCTAAACCCCTACATATCAAGATTGCTGTTCAGTGAATAAGATTATAAGCTTTCCCTGCAGTTCAGCCATTTGTTAAATGCATGCGTGATGTTTCTTTTAACTCTGTAATGACACCCATTAATGCACTTTATTTTAATGTATGTGCTCTGGGGACAGAAAGGAAATAGTAAACCTTAGATTTATTAATTGTTTCAGGTACAAAGTGAAAATTTAACTTTGAATGGAAGATATAATATTTGCATTTTCAAATTTATGTGTATTTTGACACCCTCTGGGCCATGACAATTACCAGCTGCTGTCAATACAAATTATGTATTGTATTACTGTGGCATACTTGAGTGAATTCAAGCGTCCATCTCTACTCACTGCCTCTTACAAGAGCAACCACATTTCACATCTGCCCTCTCCCTTCTCATATTATCACCTCCCTTATTTAGAAAAAATAAATTAATATATTACCTGTGAAAATCACTTTTCTGGAATGTAATAGGCAAGTAACTTTGCTTTCTCCTGGAAGTTCTGTGCATGAAAACCCTTTGTTAATCTTATGGATTTTGGTCCTAAAGGCAACCATGCAGTGAGAGTGGTACATTTCAGTCTTGCCTTTAGATTCCATTTATTTTACTGAGAACTTTTCCCTTTCTTTTATTTTTCAACCATTTAACTCAGTACTGCACTCTGATCATACCTATTTGCCAGAAATAATATGATCAGATTTTGCTGGGCTTGAAATGATATAGAAGAAAATAGGTACCTTTCCTTAGTATTTCATTTGAAACAAAATTCAAAATAGACTAATAGAACAAAATGAAAAATAAAAAGATAAACATCAAGAGATGTAACCTTCGCACAGTGCATTTATATTCAGTTACAGATCAGGAGAAGAGTAACATTACACTATCAGCAATAATCAGGATGATGGCTACAGTGGGGTGTTTTTGACTTCATAATGGGAGTAGTACTGAGCTCAAATTGAATTAAATACAAGAGAGGGATAAACTTTTATGGCATTGTCTGGAATTTGCATGTGTTCACTTACTACTGCTGATCTTAAATAGTTAATATCAGTCCCTCCAAATGGCTTACCTTAATCAATGCAAGACTGTCTCAAGACACTTGTTCCAAATTTTTGAAGTCATTGGCCAATAAAAGAAAAACTCATTTAAGACAGATGGTTAAATGTGCCTGAGGAATGAAAGTAGAATTGAATACCATTATTATGAAATTAATTAGCTTAAATGGCTTTGTTAGTTTGAGGTTTTTCTTTGTTTGCTTGGTTTGTTTTGTTTTAATTCAAAGAAAGTATATCTAAAAAATGGATATTAATCTTCAGAGCACCACCAGTACTTTGTTATGGACTTTATATAATTCCACCAGGAATTTTATATGCTAACATAATTTGGAATTTTTTTAGATTATTCACTTTCCCTAAAAGTGTATGAACATAAGACATATACAGATAATTATTCACATGGATGCAAAACACACACAAGCCCTGTCAGCCAGGTGTTCAGCTGAAGTTTTTGGAAGCAGCTGCTAGAACTTATCTACAACATCAGGTCCATGATAATAATGCAAATGGTGTAAGGGAAGCAGTTGGAAACTAGGATATTAGACTCCTAAAAAAAAAAAAAAAAGGAATAAAAATATAGAACACAGCTGCTGCTAAAGGGCAACTTTGTTCCAGTATTCCCCTCTTTTGCATAAAGAACAGCTGAAATTTATCACAAATAATTCCAGGAGTTTAAAGCCCAGGTGGTTTAAGAATTCTGGTCTTAAAAAATACTCTCCACTCTGGGCAAATGAAAAAGACTTTGTCTCAGTGAATACTGTTCAAAGGGCATCAAACAGGATTATTTTCATTCCTTTGTTTATCAAGTTTTGAATTTTTCATGTCTGTCAAAATATCTCTTGCCCACTGGAGGAACTCAGAAACTTGCTGCAGAATGTTCTTGCTTATCATACTGGTAAGCAGAATCACCAGTCACTCCAAACATCCCTTTTGGAAACAACTGGAACATCTTCTAGAGGCAATGTAAGTTGTTCTTAACTGGTCAGGAATACTTCATTTGGAAAATCTTACTCAGATATTTTTTTCCTCTCATTAACTCTTGTTGTCTTTTTCAATGCACTTTTATGTAGTTCACAAGTCTCAGGCTCTGCTTCTGTATTTCCATTCCAGAGATCATTTTCACTCTTCACCCATATTGTTTCAGGATCTTCTTATCACTTTTGAGAAAACATAAATAGTGTGAAAGTTCTCATCTGATATGAAGTCTGAGCAGGCTATAAAATTATTATTTTTTTTAATGCAAGCAGATATTTTCCAACCACAAGAGCTCAGTTCTCTATCTATTCACATTTAATATCACCAGCAGCGCACATTGGAGCAGCATTATGGCTGAGTAATAACTCACTAGAACCTTGTCTCTACTAAATTCTTTCAGTACATATTTTCTTCCTTTCCTTATACTACAAGACCTATTATTGTAAAACACAAGTAATTACAGTCCAAATTCACATGTCAACTGCTCCCAAAGAAAGTAAATATTCATTAGTAATGGGTCCTTAACTGCAAAAAAAATAGTATACATAATAAAATAAATATGGACTTCTAATTTAGGGAATGACACCTAAAATTATCATGGTCAATTTTCATACAAGAGTTGCAGACACTTAAAGTCCTCCTAAAATACAGCCTGGCAAAGGCAGCTCACAGTTAGCCATTAAATGGCACTCTGTAGGGCTGTATAGGATACTGGGACAATGGTGATCCTGAAAGAGTAGCTGGTGACAGTGAGTACCTCCCCATCCCTCTCATGAAGGACCAGGCTTTGGAAGGGCTGGACACCAAGGGATATTGTTTCCCAGAGAGACAAATTACCACAGAATATTACCAGGAGAAGCTTGTCTGTTTGAAAGGCGGCATTTCTTAGTTCCAACTGTGTTTCTGTTGTCATACAGAAACCCTGTAATCTGGAAAAGACAAAAGTCAGTCTGGCAAGCTCTCTATGAAATGTTTTCAACCCCTATACTATGCTGGACACACAGAGAAAAACTTACACAAAAAAGAACCTTAACTACCCAATTTTTTTTTTTTTTTTTTACCAAACTGTTACATTTATTTTAACAGTAAACTGTAATCATTTCAGGTCTATCCCTCATGCAGATAGTTTTCTGCAGTATTATCCCCAAATATGCCTTAACTGAGACATTGTGCAATTGAGCGAATTATAACCACCTTACTATTCACAATATTAAATTTCTAATATGTTTTCAACACATTAGGGCACTGGATTAACATTTCCTGTATTCCCATCTTCTGTTTATACACACCTACATATGTATTTAGTGTCAGAAAATAAATTAGGTTGCTACATTCTAAATAGTAGGAAAGGGATATATTGGACTAATGAAAATATCTCCATTGTGCCAGTGATCCTTTTGTATCAGCATTGGTGGTCACTGGTCATATTTCTCCACCATCATCAAGATTCTTTTCCCCTGTTGATAATTTTATCATTCCTTCATAGTTCTACTCATCTTTTTCTGTGTAATCCACTTCACTGATATGGTCTGTGATATTCCATATTACAGAAACTCCTCTTATTTAACATATTAAAAGTTTAGCACATCCAGTCTTTTCTTGAACACCTCCAGGGATGATGACACTCCCACCTGCCTAGAAAGCCAATTCCAATGCTTAGTGACACTTTCCATGAAGGAATTTTTCCTGATGTCCAATCTGAACTTCTCCTAGTTGCCAGGGAGAAGAGGCCAACACCCACCTTGCTACAATCTCCTTTCAGATAGTTTTAGAGGGGGATTAAGGATCCTTGAGCTGGCTTCTTTCCAGGATCCCTCATATGATTTACTGTCTAGACTCTGCAAAAGGTAAGCTCTTATTAAATATTTATTATTAATTTATGAGTCTACATATGCCTAGGAAATGTAGCTCCTTAGTTCTACATGTGACTTCCTTTTCACATGCAATTGATTGTTTCTACTTCCAAATTTCTGAAATTAAACTAAGACTAAAGTCAAACGAAAGGCTAGCCAGCTGCTATGTTTTCTCTTTGCCAATGGAAAATAAAGCATATCTGAATATGGAAGATAAGCGAGTTCAAAAAGCAATGAGATTACCTGCAAAAGTGCTTCAAACAGTGAAAATGCCAAGGTCATATTTTGAGCAGAAAAAACAAAAGGACCGAAATACGTCTGCAGTCCCCTTGATGGTATCTCTCCATTTTGTAGAACATACCTGCTCAGTTCTGTTGCTCTTTTGAGATGATAAAATCCAGTATGTTTGGTGTTTATTTTTCTGAAGAGACTTGAAGCACTAATTTTCTTAAACCTTGTAATGAATCCACAGTGATTTGCTGCTCAGGCCTCAGTTTCAACAGATATAAACTGAAATAATAATTTGCATTGCACAAGAAATTTCACCATGAAGGGCTGTTTCTTTAAACACACAGCCTAGAATTCAATGACCAATTCAGTAATAACTTAAGTACAGCATGAATAATTCTAAAAACCCATCCTACATATCTGTGTGTGTCTTAATGATAACATACATAGTTTTGTTATTGAACAAATGTTGTGAACTCCATTGGATATCAGCTAAAAATAATGACAAATGAAATGGATATTGGCTTTGAAATATGAATGTTCTATCATGTGGTTTTCTGTGATAGTTCCATCTGTATCTAAAACAGCTGCTGTTTTAGTATCAGCATTTTATCTACATAGTTCTTGACATGCAACAAGATGATATAGTATATTCAAACACATGCACATATCTGACACTATTAGGAAACATTGAATATTAAAACATATTTGAGCTGCTAAAATAAAAGCTAAATGCAGGTCTCTCCCTTCACCATGGAAATTTTCATTCGTCTTGACTAAGGCTACTTTTATCCTCCTCCAGGTTAAAATTTCTAGGTGTTAATCTCCTTATGTACTTTAATATGCATACCTAATAGCAAATTTAATTTAAATTGATGCATTTTGTTGAGATTAATGTCTCCAACAGCCCAATAACTTGTGAGTGTAAGCTGCTGTTCCTGCAAAGAGAAGCTTAAGTCCTATTCAACATTATGATAAATAACTCATAAAGAGTAGTAGCTGGAAGAGAAAACCCACTGATTGCACATTTTTCCCACTCCTTTGTGGATGACTGCTCATTCTGTTTCAGGGCAAGACATGATTATTCTGACCAAACATTTGTAGGTCTTGGCTTTATGCTTTCCCAAGCTTCATTAAAGTGTAGCCAAAAGCTTATTAAAACACATGGATAACAACAATTAACTTCAGTGTGGTTTCAGGCAAGGTTTGAACTGGATTTCGATTGTAAAGCAATCAAAGCAGCTGAGCTGGGAGTTACCTATAATGCACATCAGAAATGTAAATGTGCTTTACAGAGTTCTATGAAACAGCCACATTATTTGTCATATTTAATGCATTTTAAGGTCATAGAAAAATATAGCAGCAATAAAAAGTCATAAAGTGGTGAGATACAGTGCAGTCTATATTGCACAGTATATTGCTCAGAACGACTCTAAGAGGCTAGCAATAAGTCATAAGGAGGAATAGGCTAAATGACCCAGAAAAATTAAGTTAGTGGTGCCCATCAACTGAAGTACTTCATTCTCAGAAAAAAATGTTAAATCTTCCCAGAAGTGACTCTAAACCAAACTTTTCAGAAAGAATAAATTCTAAGTTAATTTATCAATTTTTTTCTCCCTATACTCTGAGGTATAATCTTTATTCTGTGCTATGATACGAGTGTTATGCCATACTTTGAGCTGAAAAATGAGTTTTTTTCATGTGCTCCCCATTCAGATTGATGTCCTTTGGCATTTAATATTCAGAAAATGGATCCTGAAAGTACAGATGTCACAATGCAGTGGTGTGCATTAATATTAGTTTAGTAGCCTCTAAATTGCATTGTTTATGAAAGAGTAAAAGAGGTTGACCTTAATGGTAAGTTTTAAACTTTTAAGTTAAACAAAAATAAATTAAAGAACCATAGCTTATAATTAAAATTCCCATTCAAGTTATATTTTGCAAAGCATCCAGAAAGGAAAAAAAAATCCCTAATTTTGGCAATTATCTATAGTATATTTAGGGGTTTTTTTTATCTATCTTCATTTCTTTAACAACCAGCAGATACACTGATTCTCACCACTGTGCAGTGACTGAGACAGGGTCAGGTTACAGCTAGACTGCAGAAGCCCTGGGAGCTGGGAGCAGTGGGAGCTCCCCAGGGCAGCTGCACTGGCCCTCACCTGCCAGGACCTGTCCCACTGTCATACCAGAGAGAACAAGATTCTCCCAGCACAAGAATTCCAATGTGGAGTATATATGCTTGTAATAAGAATTCGGAATAGCAAACTTGTTGTTAATATTTTAGAGTCATAACAGTGAATTTATTAATCTATTAAATTGTGCTTGATGTTATTTGCAGTTTATGGCAGAATTCTTTGTTGTTATTACCATGAGTACTCCTTTTATTAGCTGTAGTTAGAGGAATTATTTTTAAAATTAATATTAAGAAAACTACAAGCAGAATGGAATTTTAATTACTTATTATTTATAGCTTGTGTAGCTAATAGTTTATACATTTAACAGTTGTTAGTTAATTGTTAATATTTTGGAGTTGGCAGCATGGACAGTGGCACTCTCAGCAAGGCTGCTGACACACAAAAGCTGTGTGATGTGCCTGACATGGTGGAGGGAGGGGATGCCATCCACGGGGACCTCAGCAGGCTTGAGAGGTGGGCTTGTGCAAACCTCATGGAGCTTGCTGCAAAATTTGTTGAGATTAAATATATTTCTGCAATTAATCTAATGACACTTTATTGCATTTTATTTTCAGGCTTGTTTCAGAATTGGGTTTCCAGCTCAAAACAAGGAGCAATGGGTGTCCTGTGATATTGTGCAGCTCATCACTGATGACTAAATGACAAGTTACTGAAAATAGCCATCATTGTACTCCCTTTATAGCAAGCCTTTGCTTTGAATGTCATCTAACATTCCTAGCAATAACATCCTGTATATGTTTTGATGTAAGATAGCAGAGCTCAATTGCACCAAATGACCTTTTGAAAATAATGATTTGGTGCTTATTCATGGTGCATGGTGCTCTTAAAATTACGGGTAATATTTGTACTGCTATCTCTGAGCCTCCAATATTGCGCTGATAAATGTTCAAAGTTGTACTGAGAAAATTTCTCCCTGAACTCTGGGGCACCCCAAAGTGACAGCAGATTATGTAGGTAGAGTCAGAAATAATAAAGAGAATGTCAGAAAATCACCTTCCTCTTTTCACTTACCTGCCACAACCAGACTCTATATTCCTCTTTTTCCCTGAATCATCTACCCTTGCTCTCGGGTGGTGGATACTTTTCAGAAGAAATAATTTTTTCAATCTCTTTAAAGAAAGCCAAGGAAGAGAGTTATGATATCCATTATCTCAGAGAAAGGATGTTTTGAGGAAAAAAAAAGGAAACATTTCTAAACACTGCTCCCTGTGCAGGCAAGTCTGTATTCAAGCAAAAATTGGTCATTGTTACTGAAAATATATTCCTGATATCTGCCTTGCAGGGAAGCATTTGTCAAAGACGCAATTTTCTCAATGATGCAATGATTTTGAAACAAAATATTTGGTTCTTTTTTGTTGTCATTTTCATTCCTATTTATGACATTTTTCTGCTCTTTTTCTTCAGTAGGAAGGGTTACGTGATTCATTATACAGATGGTGGGCTGAAGTAGTGAGTTAGGTTTGTTTGGGATAGGAATGATTCTATTAATTTCCATTTGCATAAAACACTCATCCCAAATACAGGCTTTTTCTTTGGTAGTGTGCTATACCAAATCAAGATGTCCAGAACAGTTCTGGGTTTTGTTTGAAATTAAATAGGAGAACATGGAGAGACTGGCATGACAAACTTTGGTTCTGTGCCTGTTTTACCTTCCCCCTCTCTTTCCCCATTTGGCTGCTACTTGAGATTATCATGTCTTCTACTGTCTGACAATAGCAATGTAGAAAAAGAATGTAAGTAAACCCAGAGTTCCACAGGCCATCTTTATCCCAACATTACAGCTAGTGTGACAGTAGTTTTGGATAAAATGGAAATGTGTTCTGAAAATGAGTCTTGAGGCCTAAGACATCTGATGCAGTAGGAAGGAGATATAAAATTATGCATTTTGCCTTATCCTTTGGCCAAAGGGAAGTCAGTCACACCATTTAAAAATTGAGTCTTAAAGAAGATAATTGTTAAATTTCTAATATAATTTATTCCTGGTAATGTTTAATTCCTAGAGGCCAAAATTAGACTATTTTTAGAGTATGTTACGTAAATTTGCAGGCTTTTGTACAACATGCTCTGAGTGTACGTATGTGTGACATATTCATGAAGCACATCCAACTGTCTTAATGAGCACTTGTCTTACTGTCAACGTCTCTGCCCCTGAAGACAAGCTGCTGTTGTAGATGCTGCTTCCAGGAATCCAAACCCCATTTTTAACAAGTGCAGTGAATGACTTCTGAGACTTCATGTCTTCTGAATTGAAATTTGTGAAGTAAACCCACATCCCTAAAATACAGCTTTAATTTATAGCAAATTGCCCCTACTGTGCAAAGGTAAATTCAAGTCCTCCATCTCTTGAATTCTCAATGGGCCAGGTGAGTTAGACAATGGATACAAAATTGTTTTTAAGGATTCTGTTCGATGTCATCCTGCCCTTTCATATGCCATTTTTCCTGTCTGTTCACAATAAACAAATAGACTTTCAAGCAGAAAGGAGAACTCCATATCTGAATCCATTTCAGAATAAACTATAGTCCCTTCTATGAAAACAAACTTTTTAGTTTACTTCTAAAAACTTAAATTGTTCCACAACTACTCTTAGGAAGCCTAACTACAATAACAGTTTCTTGTTAAGTTTGTGCATTTATTCATTCTCTCCTTTGAGCAGTTTTTATTCTTATGCCTGAAAAAAATCACTTAAAAAGGTAAAGCTTCAAACAATTCAGAAGATATAAAATGATTCATAGTTAAAATAGAAATGTGATTATTTTGAACATATTTTTCCAATATTATGATGAAATTTTTTTCTTGTTGCTTAAAATATAGCTATTAAAATAGCACTCAGAAATCATTGCTATATAGAAAGGGTATGTATAGTGTAGTTTAATCTTCTTTAACCAGAAGGGATTAAAATATTTATAACCTTAAATATCTAATCTGAGGATGATTTAATACAGTTATTAAAATATTTTCCAGAGTTGAGACATTATACTGTATTTCAAATAACACTTTTAACGAATGTCAAGTACCAATAATGAATAAAATGTAGAAAGAAGATTTTTTATTATCAATAGTAATTTTCCATTTTTATAATCAACTGTTAAAAAAATAAATTTGAAGGCCAAACTTCTGTCCTAAGTCGCACTCAGTCAAAACCCTCCAAAATCAATGTACCATGAAATAATTGAGACTCTGATTTTTCTTATCTGCTTATCCTTGATTTATGAGTCTCCATTAATTCATATCCATGTATTCTTCTTTGGGAAAATGTTCTAAATGTAGCACTACTGAGTGTTGATATATTGATTAACTGAATACAAGAGGTAACAAAGTTCCAGGAAGAAGGCAAGGGTGCAGGATATAGGAAATAAAGGCTTTGCTGTTCACTTAAACTGGTGTGCTGTGTAATCCTGGCACTCATTTTGCTATTCCATACCTCCTTCTTTCCTTAGCATGACCATAATTTTCTTTATTATGGTTTCTAGGTTATTATAAAAAAAACACCGGAACACGGAAACAGGAAATGCATTGATTTGTTTCTTTAGTTTTAACATACCTCTGGACCCACAATATTTTATCCAGTGATTGTCATTTGATTGGTGTTTGTAAACATGATTCTTCAAACTTCACCGGAAAAATTAATTGCCAAGGTCTTAACTTTCTTATTGGAGAAATAAGTGCATGAAAGCATTATTTAAATAGGTCAAAATATGCACAAAAGTTATTTTTACATAATTCATCATATTTATTTGATTCTTAGATATAATATGTCATTAAGGTGGTTTATAATAAAGTTTTGGAATACTGATAAAACTGAGGGTGCTAGATATTGCTAGATAAACAGCAAGAAAATTATCTGACATCAAAAAATTATGCACACTAATGATTGATGAATTTTTTTAGTTTTTAATTCTGTCTGCAGTTGATTGTACACTTGTCTGCTTAGGGCCTGCTTAAGTCCTTCTAATGTATTTTTTTGAGATCACTCTTTTCCTTCATTTTTCCAAAATCATATATCAAATCTTGATTTCATGTGAAATATAAGTTGAACACCACATATTTCAAGAATGCAGTTGGCTGTTTCTTGAAGCATTACCTTGTGATAAGAAAAAATTATAACTCAGGTTTTGTCTTAAAATTCAGTTTCTCAGGTAGAATAAGTAAAGTTTAATAGAAGTTCTTATTCTTTTTGGATGATTTACGAGACATGCCAACATACCACATATGCACTCAGGTACTGCCAAAATTTTATTCATGACTGTATAGGTTGGGGAACTGAATAATTTACTGTGCTTATTAGTAACTTAATTATGATTGTGTTTATTTAGTTAGTGCATAAATGTAGTCTGTCTAAGCATCCTTCACCAACATCAAAACAGAATTTTATTTTTTTGTGGACTCCCTGCCCCTTGATCTGCTCAAGACCAGGCTGGATGGGGCTCTCAGCCTCCTTGTCTAGTGAAAGGAATCTCTGTCCATGACAGGGCAGGTGGAGCTGGATGATCCTTAAGGTCCCTTCCAGCCCAGGTCATTCTATAGTGCTCTGATTTCATATGCTCTTCTGCATGTTAAAATTTTATCAGGAATAAAAAGTTCACACTAAGCTCTGTGGTTCAACTTTCGTGCAAAAGTTAAATGTTTCCTCCAGCCTTCTCTCCATGTTGCACTCACTGATTTTCTGAAAGGTGCCAGCAGAGGTTGTCAGTGCCCTGAAAGTAGGAGGGGAAAATCAGATGGCAAGGCAGGGAGGAAAAGAGGAATTGTAAATGCTTTTCTTCAAAGACAGTTGACAGAGAACTTTGATCTAGTTTATACATAAATGGAGCTTTGAAGAGCTTAGATATTCCCCACCTAATTGGGTGCCAAAGTTCATTATCATTCTCCTAGTGCCTGACTATTCCAAAATTTGATATTTTTTTCCTAACGTTGATTTTTATCTAAAAAGTGCTGCAACGACTTTCCCAGAGGCAAGTTCCACCTTCTGGAGTACAAAGCATTATTTTTGATTTCTAAAAGTCATAGAATACAGTGTCTTTTTCTCTTTGTCATTGTAAGTTTTGGGTTTGTTGTTTTTTAGTTTTTGCAGCTTTTTCCTCTGGTGAGTTATCATTTGAATTATATTTTAAGTTTGAATTGCTAGGGGAACTACTGCAATATGATTGTGTTTGCAATGTGTTTTCCAGCTGAGAAAGTGAAGTGGGGTGGCAAGTTTTAGTTCACAGATTTGGCTCTGCAACTTGGACTTCAGTTCTGCTATAATGGTATTAAATTGAAATTAAAAAATAATAGCTTGTAGTTTTAGGTGTTTCTTATGTGGGGCCTGCAGGGCAGTACCATCTCCTCTGTGCTCTCTTCCACAGGCTGCAGGAGAATCTCTGCTCTGCCTGGAGCACCTCCTCCCCCTCCCACTCATTTGCTGACCTTGGTGTTCACACTCTTTCTGTTGTTATTTTTTGCCTCTCCACTTGGCTTTCTGACATTTTTGCATTCGCTTAAATATATTCATACAGAGAGGTTTTTTCCTCAGCTCCTTTGGGAGTTGCTTTTTATTTTTCAGTCTTACAACTACAATTATTTTCCTTGTCTTTGTTATTTCCTGAGGTTGTTTTGGGTCTTTTTTAACATAATTTTCTTCTTTACTTATTCTTCAAGCTCCACAGTATTCCTCCATTCTGCCCATCAGAAATTATTTTTCCCAATCAGTTCTGACTTTATCCTCTTTCTTTTGGCCTCGTCAGTTAAAATCCAAAGTATTCGCCGTTTGAATTAGCCTATCTCCAAGATCATCTGTTCATT